GGCTCATTAAAGTAAACAGGGAGGCAAACACCAGACAGATCCTTTCCAATATTGTCCTTGATTATTGACCATAATCCAACTGGCCTATCTCTCTCCTTTGGTTCAGGAAGACTATCCCTTCTTTTAATATATGGATATTCAATAGGCTTAATCTCCATTCTAAGATCCCGCAACCGATCAGAATAGAATAGCTCTTTATCATATATCAAAGAACAAGCATTTCCCATGTTCTCTCTACTCCGGTGGGAAGCACTTCTAAGAAGATCTGAAGATAAAAATTCATTTGTATCAAAATATATTCCATCCTCATCATCTGTTTCAATATCTACTCCATCTCGACTTTCATTTTCTGCATCAGAATCACTTGCACTGCCCTCTGACATGATGGAATAGAAATCTGCAACATTAGGAGGAAGGTAAGAAACAGAAGATTCTCCCAACCTGAAGATATTAAACCATCACTATTGATCTTGTGAAAGAAAGATCTAAAGAAGAGACGACCACACCACTCCTCGCCAATCTCACTGATTATACTATCATGGAAAACTCCGAAGTGAGGGATCTTGTGACTTTCAAAATACATGTTACTTCTTAATTCCACCAATGGATATAATATATATTTTTTGTGGCATGAAATTGTAATGTTATTATGTAACCATGTGGTGTAAAACTTCAGAGAGAGGTTTTATGTGTATGGACCCATCATTAAGTGATGTTATGACCTTCAGAGAAATGTTTTTCAACCAAGTGCTATGCAGAAAAAAGGTAGTAATAAAAAAATCTGATGATTCGTTGCACACTTCAAGAAGAACTTTCACTTCCTCTTCCCCAAGAAACATCTCATCAGTGCTTCACTAAAAAGGCTTTTTGGCAACAAACCTGTAGTAGTCAAAATACTTCAAGAGACATGGCCAAACAAGCCATGAAGCACTTTAAGAGCTCATAAAGCTCTTCCAACCTAGATGCACTGCAGCAACAAACAGGCCTAAAAGCCATATTTTGGTACTAGAAGCTTAACAGTATTTCATATTCAGTAAAGAAGTAAAGATACATAACATTGTTGTCAAACTCCAATGAAATCTCTCTAGACCGCAAAATAACAAAATCAGGTTCTTATAATGATTAATTTTTTCTAGTAAACTAGATTCTTGTTGTATTTTAGTTTGCATAATCTTATTTAACAACTGAAAGAGCTGAAAGATTTTTAAAAAGATATTAGCAGCTCTGGTGTACCAAAAATCTATTTGACAGATACAATGACAATGGAAGTCTCAAAGCTTAACTAACCGCTGTATCTTCTATTCCCTTCCACGCAAAATGACTTGCGTTCCTTTGTTTCATCCACTACAGTTGTTTCCAGTTCAATTTTCTCTGTCTGCACAATATTTAGTTGCAAGGAGAAAGGGTGAACTTGAAAGCAGTTTTATATGATCTAGCAGCATGTGAAAATGGGAAAGCCATAGCAAAATAAAAATTGAATTGAATGCATATAAATGACAAGAGGCATAATTGAAGGAAAAAGAATACAAGTTCAAGAGTCAACCAATCAACTCAATATCTGAGGGGCAACAAATAGTTAACCCGCAAATTGATTGGCACAACTTGCCAGAAAAGAAATAGAATGTAAGTTGCATGGAACAAAATGACAATCTCTCATCATTTCAATTTGAAGTTAAATGAGGACCAAAGATGAAAAGTTCAGACTGGTAAACCATCTCAATGAGCATGTAGGTGTGTGAAGTTGGGATTGGCTACATGAATTCTTTTCACCAACCAACTCTTCACAGGTCAAATAAAAATGCCACCAGCAAGTATGATGACTCCAGATAAAATTGCAAGATGAAACAATAAAGTGTTGTAAAAAAGAAGCAAGTTGGCATCACATAACTATTTCATATTATTTTAATGGCTACAAATATTAAAACTTGTTTATGTAAGTAAAATGTTCAGGTCTGAAGAAATTTACAAAGATGAATACCTCTAACTGTCTTAATGTGTCCAGCAGCATAACATGTTTAAGTTGAAGAGATTTCAACCGATTTTGCAGCTCAGAGAGTTCATATAGCATGATAGACTCACAGTCTTTTATGATCACTTCACTGGTACCTTCTTGCAATAATCGCAATCGTAGCTTCTCAGTTGAAACTACAATGTCTTCAGAAGGTGCAAAATCACTGCTTGTCAAAACCCTAGGGAATTGATCTTTAGCGGCTAGCAAAGCCTCAATCCATGCAGCTCTATCCTCTCTAGATAGACAACGCAGGTGAAGAGTTTTTGTCCCCGTGAATATGTACAACCTTTTGTCATCTGACTTGCTTGCCCGAATTGAAGAAACCTGTAAAACATATTAATTACTCTACAGAACTACCCAAAAAAAGATAAAATATGGAAATATAAGGTCATAAGTATACATTTGCCCAACACCCATATAAAACTATACAATAGCACTTTTGGAGAGAACACAATAGGACTGTTGAGGAGGTAGAAAAGCCTCTCTTTAAATTGAAGAGGAGATCTTTATCGTAATCACTCTATTTTAATCTAGGAAATCATGAGAGTCAATGAAATCATTTTTACAGACAGAAAATGAAATAGCTAGAAATTTATTTTGCTGACCAATCACTTTAGGAGGCCTTCAATAATATTTCCATGTGTAGAATATCCAAACCTATTACTAGGGGGGAAAAATTTAAGAAGGAAAAAGAAGCCTATCAGAGTGTTCTTCCTGGCTACTTCATCTTTCCCTGACTTTGAGTTCCAGGACACACCATTTCTTCCGGAACAGACTACATGTCTCTTCTTACAAAATCTCTAACTTGATTAGTGCAGGGGGACATCTCTCTGATTTGACTAGCAACCAGTTTCCTAACACCAGATTTCATGTGGTTTTGCCAAAAATTATTCATTTCCAAAACTTTTTAAGTCTATTAGCATCTTTCACTTAACAAAGAACAATACTAACGTACTAATGTTTTTTGGAGGAGGAAGTTCAGCTTGTAAATAAATAGAAGTTTTTATTTTGATTAATAATATGGAAAACATTTTGTTCACCTTCCACTCCTCCAACCCAATGCATCATATTTTACGACTTTTAGTTCCTCTTCTTCTTGGTTTACAAACCAGACTTCCTCAAGTCTGTTCATATGAAGTAGGCACAATAAAGGTACGGCTGATTTGTATGCTTGATGGGTATTATTAGCATCCCAACATATGAGATTGTATTCATAAATGCAGACAATGCCAACAGAGCCATGTTTCTCATTAGAAAATTACATGAATGCAAAATACACAAAGGAACAAGACACCCAGAACCAAATGAAAAGAGCAAACCTTCAAATGTATCTCTCCAAAGGGTTTCCACTGCTTTGCAGAACCACCGAGTCGATTACTGTTGGAATTAGACTTTTTCATATACCTCGAAGACTCGTCTCCAATCACCTTCACACCCTTCTCTCTCCGAGGACTCATCACAATCTTGTCCGGTCCATGAACCTTATAGTACGAAAGCACTCCATCTTCAAGCACAAACCACCTCGACCTCCAACCTTTCCCATAGTTCACCCACTTATACAAAATCCCAGCCGCATTGCCGCAAAACCCCTTGGAATCTCTCGACTCAACCACAACGTCCTCAACCTCGTGATTATTCACAGCCGAACTCAACCTATCCAAATCAGTAAAGCTCGGTTTAGAAGCAAAATTCACATTCTTCACTGAACTCTCAAACCCTAGCTGACACTGCTGAACTTGTACCTATGGCTTCACCACCGCCGGACTGTTCCGATCCTCGATCGAAACCGGAGCAATGCAGCACAATGGATTCATCTTAACAACACACACAAATCAATCAAACAATCAAACAATTCAATCGAAGAACCAACAGATCAATCTCATCGCACTGAATGTGGCTCCAAATGCTGACATTTTCGAGCTCGAGAGAGATCGAATCGAATCTCAGATGAGAAACAGAGCACTCGATCGGAGATCGACGGGGCGACAAACCCGAGACTAGTCTGAAATGACATAAGATTGAAAACGATAGGCTGAGTACAGATAGATATAGATCAGAGAGGACTGAGAAGTATAGAGAGAGAGAGAGTGTGTAGCTGAAGAGAGAGAAAGAGAGGGGCAGTTATGGATGCAGTTGGCGAGCACTCAATTTAGCTTGCAGAGAAGATAGAGATGTATGTGTGTTTGAGTGCTGAGACTTAATTCAATGGTCAGGTTTTCTCAGTGTCCAAACAGAGCAGCTATGAAAACATAGACTGATACAGAGTGGGGAAGAAAGGAGAGGAGTCTAACATGAGTCGCCCTCATGGTTCTTGTTATAGACTCTCCGTTTAATTGGTCCACTTGGTTTGACAACTGTTTTTCTTTTTAATTCCCTTTTTTAGAAGAAGTCATTTTTAACCTTTTAGGTGTTTTCATCGGGAAACATGGTTAACAGTAGGGGTGAGCAGTAGATATATCGATTTATTAAAATTGATCAAACTAAATTGATCCGTCACATTTTGAATGGATGCGTGATGACGAGTGGACGGTTGCGGATTGATTTTCTCTAATTCACTAATCTGGTGGACGAATGACAGATTTGAAATTCCATTAGCTGCAACCGAACTGCCAAACCGCGAGCACCCCTAGTAACTTATAAGACTTTTGGTATGTTTGGTTTGCATTTGGGAGATGAGTTTTAGAAAAAAATTTCTAAAAAATTGTTTGGTTTGAGTTTTTTTCAAAAAATTTCCAAAATCACTTTCTCTCTCTTACACATCAATCAATCATTTTTTCTCTCTCCTCTCTCATTCTCAGGCCCCGTTTGGGGACTTACTTTTTTAGTCAATTAGCCAAAAAATTATTAAATTAGTCAAAAAGCCAACAACTTATACCAAAAAGTCAAAGATTCTCTTTCCTCCCTACTTTTTGCACATCTTTTCGTAATTAGCTAAAAAGTCATCCCAAACATATAAGTTTTTTTTACCTACATTTTTAGCCAAATAGCCAAAAAGTTACTAAATTAGCCTGTTCCCAAACGAGGCCTCAATCACTTTTTCTCTCACACAGATCTATTCAAATTCTCCCAAAATATCAAATCATCCCAAACTCTAAAAAAAAAACTCTCCCAAAAGATACAACCAAACAAACCAAAAAATTTTCTAAACTCTCTCCCCAAATTTTTTCCAAAAACAACTCTCCCAAAAACAAACCAAACAAGCGTTGTGTTTTCAGTTTGTTTAAATATTCTGTTTGTGTTTTCAATTAAAAAAGAATTTAAATATTCAGTTAAAAAAAAGTTTTCAACTTGAATATCTTTTTTGAATTTAAAAAAAATAAACGTATTATTTATCTATACTTTTTTGTTTTTAAATCTATCTTTAAAAATAAGAAATAGAAAATATGATATATGCTGGTTGATTTTTATTTTCAAAAACAGATATAGATGTAATAATACAGAGACATACAATCTTTACTATTGCTCTGTTCATGGTTTTGGTGGTTTGAATTGTTTTTATATTTTAAAAACCACAAATTGTAATACTTTATATGGATGATGCATGCTGTGATTGTAGTATGTGGATGGGGCATGCAATGATTGTGATATTCTAAAATTTCAAACTTTCTTACTTTGAATGAGGCATGCAATGATTGTAATATTTTTTTAAGTCATTGACTATAATACTTTCTCTTTCTTTTTTTCTTTTTTTTTTAGGAAGTGCACAAGTTGAATTATGTTGAAAATTTATAAAATTTTAAACCGTCAAACCGATTCGCATCCATCCGCCAAACCGCCAATCCGCTCAATCCACATCCGTCGGATTGACGAACGGATGCAGATTGATTTTCTCCAATCCGCCAATCTGGTAGACGGATGGCGGATTGTAGGTTCCGTGGCCGCAATCGACCTGCGCCCATCCCTAGTTAACGGTATATACTACATATACTTCATATATATTTTTTTAGGAAATAATTAGTCTAAAGTCCCTCTCTCATTTTTAGTAATAGAAGAGATCAACAATATTATTTTTTAATGTCTAAGATCCCTCCCATCTATCACAGAGAAATTTGATATATATCTCACTCTCTGTGTGTGTCTCTCTCGCTGCTTTCTTCCACTCCTCTAAATCCCCAAACTCAACCTTCTTCTTTGATATGAAATTTATTTTAAAAACAAATTTATGACTGCCCCTTCCTTTACAGTCACCACTTTTCTGGGTCATAAAGTCGCCATTTAACTCCAAAACCAATCTGATCGTTACACTGCAACGACAACCCCCTCATCCATTTGCTACAAGAGAAGAGAGAGAGAGAGAGAGAGAGAGAGAGAGAGAGAGATGAAATTCTTGAATCAGCTGAGCTTCTTGAGGAAGAAACGAATCGAAACCCTACCAATAATCTCTTCTTCACTGACAATGAAGATAAAGATGAGCTTCATCTATCTCCCACCGCTGCCGAGGATCACCATCGTTTGCACACCGCCCATCGCAGCAACTCCGAACACACCAACACCGCGACCCAAGTCGCTGTTGGCTTACATCGACACCATACCAGCTCGCCAATCAGCTCCATCTTCGCTTTGATATGAAATTTATTTTAAAAACAAATTTATGACTGCCCCTTCCTTTACAGTCACCACTTTTTTGGGTCATAAAGTCGCCATTTAACTCCAAAACCAGTCTGATCGTTACACTGCAACGACAACCCCTCATCCATTTGCTACAAGAGAAGAGAGAGAGAGAGAAAGAGAGAGAGAGATGAAATTCTTGAATCAGTTGAGCTTCTTGAGGAAGAAACGAAATCGAAACCCTACCAATAATCTCTTATTCACTGACAATGAAGATAAAGATGAGCTTTGTCTATCTCCCACCGCTGCCGAGGATCACCATCATTTGCACACCGCCCATCGCAGCAACTCCGAACACACCAACACCGCGACCCAAGTCGCTGTTGGCTTACATCGACACCATACCAGCTCGCCAATCAGCTCCATCTTTGCCGACCTACTCGCCGATATTGTGACAACTCAGCGGCGCATCCTTCCAATATATATACCTATGTGTATGTATATAAGTATAGAAATTGTCTCTCACCTGGACGAAATTTGTGAAAATTTCGAAGCAAAGTTGGAGCATAACACTGAAAATTGAATCAATTTCACAAAAATGGTATTTGAGATTGATGAATTACACGAATAATATATATATATATATATATATATAATTATGTATATATGATGAATATGTAAAGATGAGGTGGTGGGTTTTGCTTTTCTTCACAACCAACAGTGTCTTCCAGTAGACACACAATGCAAATCCTCTTGATCTTTTTTCCCATGGCCTTCCAACTGTGGGTTCAAATACAAGTGCTGGCAATATGAAAAGGTTTGTCTGGGATTTTCTCTAGGTTGTGGAGTCTAGAGAAATTCTATGGGTTGAGAGAATTTCTCTGAAAATATTTGTCTAGAAATTTTCTCTGGGTTGTGGAGTCCAGAGAAATTCTCTGGGTGAGAGAATCTCTAGAAGAGAGAATCTTTGGAAATATTTGTCTGGGAATTTCTCTGAGTTTGGGGAGTCCAGAGAAATTCTCTGGGTTGGAGGGCGATTTTCTCTAAGTTTGAGTAAATTTCTTTAGGATGGACTAAATTTCTCTGGTTTGTATTTGTGATTATTATGTAAATAGAATGGGAAATTTCTCTGGAGAGAGGGAAGGCCAAAGAAATTTCTAAAATTTCTCCAGAAAGTGGAAAGGTTAGGGGAAGGTTAGAGAAATTTTCAAAATTTCTCTAAAAAATCCAGAGAAATTCTTCCCAAAGAAATTCTTCCCAGAATTTCACTATTGAGGTTTTCTCTATGACAAAATAGGTAGAGTTGAATCTGTTGTTCCATTGATTTGATAAACTGCTCCAGAGAAATTCTCTTAGTCCAGAGAAATTACCTTCCAACCCAGAGAAATTTACAAAAAGTCAGTGAAAATTCCCTTATAGTCTAGAGAAATTTAGAATTTTTTCTGTAATGTGTACAGAGAAATTCTCTGGATTGAATTTTCTCTGGATTGATATTAAGAGACCTTAGATATTATGAAAATATTGCGTGTCCTTTATGCTATAAAATCATAATACCAGGGACCTTAAAAAAAAAATCCCTTTTTTTAGTTATAATTAAAAAATATCATAATAAAACATAACATGAGTTATAATTAAAATTTTATGAGTCATAATTAAAACAAAAATTACTAATCATAATTAAAATAAAAAATGACATAATTAAAAATGTATATGATATACTATCTAAAGGGTATGTATGTTAGAATTGCCAATTTTTATAATATTTTTGTGCACAAGGAATATGACGCACCATGACTTGAGTGCAAATTTTTTTCTTTTAAGTTCTACTTATTTGCTTTAAAAAAAAAATTACAATAATAGTAATATTTTTTTATTTTTGACATATTAAAATATAATATTGACGTGATTCAAATAAATTGATTTGCTAAGATGATCTAACTTGATCAATTTATGGTAGTAATCGGACCATGGCCCACACTTATACCTTGCCCAAAAATGCAAGTGAGAAGGTTGAGTTTTACATTGGAAATTTGGGGCTTTTGTATTCTCTCTCTCATTTGATTTTCACCTTTTGGCAGAAGGCCATAGGCCAACTCCAAACAAATCCAATCCAACTACAAAAATAAAGAAATGCTCAATCAAACACATTTGTTTGTGAGGGAAATCAAAGTGCAAATGCACTTGTACACGTAGGAGTTGATAACTAAGAGGAGCTAATGGTGTATTTTATTTACTTATTTATGTTGTTTTTATAAATTTGAATTTAAAATCTCTTTTATCTTGGCATTTTAAAGGTTATTTGAGATATAATTTATAAGTTTATTTTTTTATTTATTATGAAAAGACATTAAAAAAATAGCAAAATAATATAATTCAAATAAATTAATAAACCAAAATATAGCTTATTTATAGTATTATGGGCAAATTACATAGGGTCTGGCTTTGGTCCAGTCCACCATTGGACTTGACCGTGCTGTTGGGCCCGTGGGAACCCATCACGGGTCTCGTTTTAAAAATTTGAACCATTTAATATGTAGAACTCGTCGAATGCTATATGTCTGTAGAAAATCACGTTGATCAGATATCGATAGCTATGTGATCAAATCAGTTTTGTATAAAAAAAAAATGGACAGTGAATAAATTAACGGCCTCATTTGGCAAGTGACTTTTTTAGCTAAAAAATCAAAAAATTATTAAAAAAATCAAAAAGCCAATAACCCATACTAAAAA